ACTACCACTACGACGACTGCTACTACTACTACTACTACTACTACTACTACTACGACGACCACGACGACGACTAGGACGACGACTACGACTACTATTACCACTGCCACTACTACCACTACTACCACTACTACCAACTCGACTACGACTCCGACTGCGACTGTGACTGCGGACAGACAGTGGCAACCAGTCCCAGAAGTCGTGAAGCATTCCGCGAACCCTAAGCTCCCAAGCCCAGGCATGTTCTGCAACCTGAATGGAGCACCAATGTCTGCTTCGCCGGATCCGTTTGAGGAGGGACTACGGCTCTTTCTAGCTCGACAACATACTCCATTGGAGAAGCTGGAGGTCATAGATTTCAGGCCGGTTTAGGGCTGAGGGTTTGCGTTCATGGGTTTACGTTTGGGGCAACCCCTTGCTTTGTTGCAAGCTGTCAGCTTCAAGTACGTAGACTCCTCGACATTGAGGCAGAGCTGCTTCACGGCGAGCAAGACTTTGTACATATTTCACGATCGACTCGGAGATCAGTTCCGGGGGCGATCAGCTACCCAGGCTGAGCAGTCGCCGGAAGCAGCAGGTGGCTGCCAAGATTGCGGACTCTGCCACCCTGGGAAGGAATCACATATTCTACATCTCGATGCCCCTGCTGAATTGAGGCAAGGCTGGAGAGCTTGGACATTGGGAGAGCCGTTTGCCTCCCATGAGGTCCGAGTCGCCAATGTAACTCACAGCATACCGCTACAACAGATGGAGCCTGAACAACTTGCCAACGGACTGCGATTAGCACAAGATCTTGGTCGCCTCCTTTCTGGAAGTCATGGAGTTCAAACGTTATACACGATGAAGTACCAGGACTGCATTAGGAGGGCCATGCAAGTGCAAGCATCATTCCCAAAGGCCTTATGGTTCTCTTAACCTGTCTTCTCAAGACAGCAAAGGTGCATCACGTTTGAGGTATGTTACCACAACAGCACAGCTGCAATAGCTACAACAGTAGCAGCAGCAGCAACATCATCAGCAACAGCGGCACCAGCAGCACAAGCACCGACACTAGCACCAGCACGCACACCAGCAGCAGCACCACGGCAAGAACAGCAATGTCTGCAGCATCAGCTAGAACATCATCATCATCATCATCATCATCATGATCGTCATGATGATGATCATCATCATGATCATGATCATCATGATCATCATGATCATCATGACCATCATGGTCATCATGATGATGAATGATGAACATTATCACCGTCACCATCACCAACATCAACATCAACTTCATCGTCATCGTCATCGTCATCGTCGTCGTCACCATCATCATCATCACCATCATCAGCATCATCTACCAGCAGCAGCAGCAGCAGCAGCAGCAGCAGCAGCAGCAGCAGCAGCAGCAGCAGCAACCCCGGCAGCAACAAGCGCAGCAAGCACAGCAACAGCAATCACAAAAATAGGCACCGCGACCACCGCTACCACCGCTACCACCACTGCCACCACTGCCACCTCAACCACCACCACCGACAGAGGATGTCAAGAACGAGAGAAATAACAAATAAGAAGCAATAAGCCGCGGGCAACAATCGAAAAACAACAGCAAACAGCAAGCAGAAAAGCAATAAGATCAACAGCCGACAACCAAACTTCAGCAACCAGAGCAACCACAAGAATCATCAACGACAGCAAGACATCAACAAACAACAGCTAGAGCAACAACAACTACAACACCACCGGCAACACTAGCAGCAACAACAACATCATCGCAACCACCACCACCGCCACCGCCACTACCGCCACCTCCGCCACCACCACCACCACCACCACCACCACCAAAACCAACATCAGCAACAACAACAGCGGCAACCGCGACACCGCCGCTGCTGCTGCTGCTGCTGCTGTGTTGAGTGTTGGAGGTGGTGTTGGGACGATGATGACGAGTGTTTGTTTGTCGGGGTTGTCGCAAGAAGTTCGCCAGAAAGCCAATTCCCAGGCATGGTGCGCTTGCTGGATCACTTTGCCCGCATGTCCACATTGGCATGGTCAGGAGACACAGCCCTCAGCAGCTCGATGAAATGTCGGTTACGGTGTCAGCTTGACTTGACCCCATGAGCCCAAGATCGACTGCAGTGAAGGTTTTGAAACAGTTGCAGCTGCGTGTCAAAGTGCTGCTTCGAGGTTTGAGCGAAGTCAGGCGCTTAGTTGATTTTCCTGGCCAGAAGCTCATTGTGTCTCCCACTGGCCTAGAGTTCCACATATGTACATATACAGACAGAGTAGACTAAGTATAGTCTAACATAAGATGGGAACGAAGCCGAACAAAATGATCTAGTGTGCATGTACATGTGCTGTGTCTGTATGTACTTTGTACATGTCTGTATACACATATACATGTACTGCGTATGCATATGCATACATAGGTATACTTATGTATATTTGTGTACATATGTTTTACATATGTACAGGTGTGTACAAATATATTGAATATGTATGTGCGTGTGCGCATGTAGTACATACGTATATGTGCAGACACATGTATGCCTGTGTACGTGTGTATATGTAGTAATACGTACACAAAGGCGTACATGTGTATACGCGTATACTGTATGCATGTATGAGGGTACGCATGCATGCATGCATGTATGTACGTGAGAATGAACGCATGCTTGCATTCATTCTTGTATGTCTGTATGTAGGTTCGTTTGTATGTATATATGCATAATATATGTATGTAGTTTCATGTATATATGTAGCCACCTATATAAGTGCATGTGTATATAGGTTTGTATGTATATATGTTTGTATGTATACATTCATGTATATGTTCATGTTTGTATGTGTTTGCCTGCGTACATGTGTGCACTCATGTATGTGTGCATGTGCATTGCTGTGTGTGTATGTATATATGCGTGGACTTTGTATATATATATATATATGTATGTATGTAATGCGTGCAAAAGTAGAACTGATGTCATGAGCATGCTCACGCATGCACGCAGCCTCCCTGTCTCTCTCTCTCTCTCTGTCCTTGCCCCTGTAGCTAGCTAGCTAGATAGATATATCGATGGATAGAGAGAGAGAGAGAGAGAGAAACACAGTCCCTTCAAGGCCCCATAACACATGGGGGGCCCATGTGGCCGAGGGACCTTAACAGTCCCTCATGCCCGGTGGAAGAAGAGAGAGAGCGAGAGAGGCAACGCTTGACGCGCGCGGTGTAGGGGGTCAAACCCCTACAGCCTAGCCCTGGCGAAAGAAAGAAAGAGAGGCAACGTTCGGGTGGGCTTGATGCCCGGGTGTCTTGACCGACCCTCAGGTTGAGAGAGAGCGAGAGAGAGAGCCTTCAAAGTTTTCGCAGTTTCGAACCCACGGCCTCATCTCATAGAGGGGAACCTATCAGACCTACTGAGACCAGTGCGCGCTCGCGCGCAGGGGGAGCGGGGGTCGTCCTGCTTCCCTTCGGCTGTGTAGAAGAAGCCTTCAAAGTCCCAGGTTTCAGCCTTAGATATGAGGCCGGGAGGTTTCCTAGTGAGTTGTAAGTCGCGCAGGGGGGGCAGGGACCTGCCTTCCTTCGGCTGTGTAGAAGAAGCCTTCAAAGCCGCATAACACATGGGGGGCCCATGTGGCCGAGGGACCTAACCAGTCCCTGGTTAGGTCCCTTATGCCCTGTGGAAGAAGAGAGAGCGAGCAGCCAGAGAGAGAGAGAGAGAACATGTGGCCGAGGGACCTAAACAGTCCCTTATGCCCGGTGGAATAAGGGAGAGACAAATAGAGGGGCCACAAGGCCGGGGGACCCAAACAGTCCCCTGTGCCCAATGAAAGAAGACAAATCTATATAATATGTATAAATAAATCTGTACATACTTGTTCGTACAAAGGCACACACAAACAAAAACAAGCACCCACCCACCCTCACGGATGGATGTCCACGAAGGACGTTACATTGGATGAAAGACGAGTGTGTTGGTAATGGTGGTGATAACGAAAGTGCTAGGACACAACGTGTCGTCGCACTTATGAGATGAAGGTTTTGTGCCAAGTACGCCAGACCAAAGGAATGGCATAGTAAGCCGAAATGAAATGATCCGTCAGGGGCAAGGTTTCTGCCCCTTGCTACGTCAAACACAAAGGAATGACGTAGCATGACATGAGATGAAGGATGAGCGAAGATAAGTGCCCCGCCAGCTGCCCACGACGGGACCCAGGCGCAGGCAATGCAGGTACGTTTACCTAGGGTGCAGGGGAGAGCTTCGTTGGACGGAGCTCCCCTGCACCCCCTCCGTCCCCCTGCAAACCCATGAAACTGTGTAGGAGTGACCCTCTGCCCCCATGTGCTAGGGAGGTTCACACACA